ACCTACAACTTGGAACCATTGTAGGCCCTTATTAAAACAAAACCGAAATTCAAAACCCTTTTTGTTAGTCACATATAATAAATAAAGTCATAAATAAATAAAGCAATAACACAATCATATACTTATAGAAACTAGCATGATTCGCTCTTCAGCCCATTCATGAATATGCTTCATCACCTGAAAAGCTTATCTCTACTTGTTTCCACTACTCTCCATTAAAAATGGGTCATCATAGGGCCAAGATAAAGACAAGGCCAACAAACACAAAACACACAATCAGCAAAGCTGAGTACATAAGCGTATTAACACACTAACATACGATTTCCTATTAACACACAACTTACCTCGTTGCACCTTTGTTTCAAGCATACAACATTCAATAAAAGTTCCCACTAAACACTACATAATTTATTTAATGTTGACTACGCATTGAACGAGTTTCCCCCTCAACCTCCCCCAAATAAATTTGAGGTTACTGACACGGGAGCTAACATCAATAACTACTCGTAAGTGGCGGAATTCCTGCGCATAATAATAATAATAAAAGGAATGTCCAGCGTTCTGTACTCCAGTAAAAGTTATGAACAAATATAAAGTCACATAACTCCCCCCATATATATTCATACTAAAGGTATATACGTTTCAAGAGTTTTGGTGCGTAATCTCTTTCACTTTACGTTATTTACATATTATTAGACTTGGTGATGACTCTCAAACCATAATCATTCAATCAACAATAATTATTCAATCAACCAAATATACCAATTTAATTATTAAATAATTAGTGACCACATAATATTTAATGTTGAATCGTTTTTAATTCTACCTCGGTGCCAATGACACCTTAAACGCATAAAGCGTTACAAATCCTATCCTTCGGTGTTAAAAACACCTTAAGTGCACTAAGGCACCAACATACAATTTATTCCTCGTGTACATAGACACTTATAGTATCAATAAAAATTAAATGAACCATAATAAAATTCTTTTTCAATATTCCAAACTCAATTAAATATTTAGTTTAATTAAACATGCTCTCTAACATACCATAGATAAATATGTGGTTCATAAATAATATTCTAAATTATCAATTTCCATTCAATAACCCATCACAAATAAGTCATGCTTCATAATCCAATCACCAATAACATCCAAATCACAATTTCCAATCCAAACCTAGCATGATACTACTTGTAATCAATCAAACACATTTAGCATGCTATTATATTAACATAATTATGCTAAGTACGCTAACGTACCTTGTATACTATCTTAGAATCGCCACGACTAATTAAAATCACTCACTTCAAAGTCTCCTACAATTTAAAATTATAGAAGAGTATTAAAATTCACTTTACACAAATTTCAAGAAATATATACTATTATAAAACCCCTCATAATTTAATTAAAATAAGCTTAACTTATATTTAAAACATCATACTTTAATCTGAATTAATGGGTAATTAAAATTCCTTAAAGAAACTTGATTTTAATTGCTCTACTAAAACTTCCAACACTATATTTTAATTAAAACTTGCTGTATTTAAGCCTTAAAACACTTTAATAAAAGGTCTAAACCATTATACATCATAACCCTTCAATAATATACAAATCAAGAACCTAGGGTTTTAAAAATTAGGGCTTTTTTATTAAAAACATAAATCTGAAAATTAATTAACATAATACTTATAATCAAACATCAAAATCCAATCCCAAAACTTATAATTAACAATTAGATTTAAGCATAGATTAGTTTTTAACACAATAAAGATCTAATTTTTTTTTATTTGTATGTTCGAAAAAGGGGAGAGAGAAAGCAGTGGCAACCACCACGCCGGCTGCCCTGCCTGTTGCCAGCGGTTGACGCTGCTGGCGGAGGCGGGCACCTATTGCCGGTGGTCGGCAATGGTGGTGGAAGGGGCAGCCGAAAAAAAGAAAAGGGGAAGGGGAAAAAGAGAAAGAAAAAGAAAGAAAATAAGGGGAAAGGAGAGAGAAGTTTACCTTGGGTTTTTCTCCACTCTGGCAAAGTTGATTTGTCTCATAAGTGGGATATTTATACCCCTTCTCTACAAACCCTTTTTCCCTAACTTTCCTCTTTTAATTTTTCTTAATCCCATCCCTAATAAAACTTTACAAAATTAAAACTTTCCGTAAATTAAACTCCAACTTAATTAAATTAATTAATTAAATAAACTTTTCTTTTATAATTATTTCCAAACTTATTTAAAATAAATAATTAAAATATTTTAAATAAAATAATTTAATTTAATTAAATAATTCTCAAAATACTTATTTTAATTAAAATACGTATAAAAATACGAGGTGTTACAAGTTACAACCACCCACTACCAGCCCCCTCCCCCATCCAGCGGTCGGTGGCCGTCTATTGCCTCCCTCTTTTGTCGTCGGCTACCCAATCCCCTCCCTTTCCCCATTCCCGTCCCTAAACCCAACCCCCAATCCCTAAACCCAATTCCCAAACCTATTCTCGCCCCTTCGTGAAGCCCCTCATGGATGTTGCAAATTGCAATAGGCGAGGAGAAGGGTGTCGAAGGGACGACGTGGGTGTAAAGCTAGTCACGGCGGTGATTTGCGGCGAGAGGGTGGTCGAGGGTGTTGGGGATGAAGAGGATGAATGAAAAAGAGGAGTATGAGAAGGCTCGAATGAGGTTTGGGTCCGATTCTATGAATTGAATGGCGGCGCTTCTATGGTGGTTGACGGCGGTGGCGATGTGCTCAGGGGTGGCAGAAAGTGGGTGGTGGTGGATTGTTATTATGTCCAGAGTTTCGGTCGCGATCGCGGGAATGGTCGCGGTAACGGCACTAATGCGTTGATCGCGGATCGAGGTTGTAGCAGTAGAAATTTATTTAAAATTTATTAATCTTAATAATAATTTAGGATTTTTTAATTATTTTTATATGGGCTTTAAATTGAATTATTACACTTTATGACCTTTAAACCATAAAATATAAGTCCGCATTACTCCAAAGCTTGTTTCGTCTATTATTTACCCATTGACAACAATTTATTAAAAACAAATAACATAAAAGGCCACCTGTCATACGCTCATAGCAAGTGACCATTGGCCCACTATTGTCCCATCAACTTATTACTATGCAACTAGAGTGTACCCCCGGGTTGCTAGTTTGTATACTTCTTGCTTTAATTTAACAATTATGTTCAACTATTTGTATAGTTAGTGTGTGCAGTGGTTCGAGCATTGCCTCGGATGTCAATTTTTTTTTTTTAACATCATATGTATTTATATTCTAATTTTGTGAAAATAGATGAATTATATTGCCTCTATTTTACTTAATAAATGAAAGGGATATATAATATTATGTGAAATTTGAAACATTAATAATACTTGGTTGATATGGTTAATGTATTATCTACATGTATTGGAGGTTATGGGTTCAAAGCATATTTTATTTTGTTAAATGAAGTGGCTACCTTACGTGGCATATATATATTTTGGATGATGACGTGACATTGTGATATAGCACACATACTTTGAAGAGTGCCACGTGGCACCGTTCGTTTAAAAGGAACGCCTTTTAATACATAGTTTAGATAAAATAAATAAAGCCTACCAAACTCATTCCCATTACTCTGGACTATTTACTTCAAATTACATGTGAAAACCTTTTACAGCTGTCCCACTTATTACTTTCTCACTATTTCCTTGGTTCTGATTTAAGAAACTCGTCGGTTTTAATGGAGTCTCTCCATTTACTTTCTTTTTTCCCTTTCTTTTAGTCTATAAAGTGAGTAATTCGTATGGAAAATAACCAAATTTTAAGTCTACAACGTCGATGCGGCCGAGATTCATTTCGTATCGGGTGTATCGGCCGAAATCTTGGCCTTTAGGAAAACGCCGTGCTAAAACGGGGAATATCGGATTGGTAAGTTCAAAATCCGTTACAAACCGACTGGTTTGCGACGTAACAGCCGCATTTTTATACCATGTCTATTCTAATATGGTTTGTTTTTTTCTTGAACAAGTAATAAGAATGGGTGGGGAGAACAAAGCCTAAATCAGAATTTGTTCCATTTGAGCTTTATTTTGACCTTTTCTCAAAAAATATAAAAATAAAAAAATAAAATAAAAAAAATAAAATAAAAAAGGCTTTATTTTGACCTTTTAATGTAACATCCCAATTAGAGGTAAATTGTCTTTACAAGATTTTTTTTAATAAACTAAGCTATTTTAAGTAAATAAGGTAATAGTTAAATAATAGGGGTGTCTTCATATATAGCACTTTGTTATATGTGAACTAAAAGAGCATTATGATATTTTAATATGATATAGTGTGATCTAATGAGGGGATCGAATGATAATATAGAACTTGAGAGGAAAAACAAATCAAATAGGCAAGTATTTTATGCTGATAAATTTGATAATTTTGTTATATTTCCATTTTGTGATTTTAAGTGTAGGTCATGTGTATGAATTTTAACATCACGTACCCGTGTCCCCTATTTTGGGGTTGATGTTTTTTCGCACGCATCCATTTCGTACCCGTATCAGTACCCGTTCTCATGCAACCTAGGTTGTCAGTTGAAGCTTGCATAACTTGGCCTTAGGATGGGTGGTTTCTTATAAAAAAATTCACCTGGGTGCACATTGAGTGAGGTAAAAAGTCTTAGAAGCATGGAACTTTCAGCCACTAATTATCTCTGTTTGTCCTCTTCATTAGATTTTTTTATTTTTGGGCTCTTCAAAAGCTGAAAACATCATCATGGTGGGACCTGATGACTTTTTTGTTTTTTTGGTTATTTTCTAATTCATGAAACTTACTATGGCTTTATTCTGTCAAAGTGTCAATGAATGGAGGGAGATAAGTGTTAATTTTCCAGAAAACTAGGACACTCAACTATTGTGGTAGCATTTAAGTTTTATCATGCCATGCATGCAATAACTCATATATTCTCCTTTGCTGTTATTGTTGGTTGCTTTAAAGTTACTTTATCTGATTTTGAAATCTTCATTTTTCAGGCAAAACACTGGGACACCTTCTATCAATTCTACAAGAATACTACCGACAACAAGTAGAGTTCATGGCCTTTTATTTTTCCTACAGGAATTTTCTATTTAAAATAACTTTGTGCAGGTTTAACTTTTAAGTCATTTAATATAATACTTCAAATAAGGAGAAAAGTCGTCTTTATGCTACACTTAATATGTAGGTGGGGTACTCCTTACTTGACAAGGGATTTTTTTCACAACATGGCATCAAAAATGGGAGATCAAGTGCTTCTAGTTACCGCTGAAGAACAGAATAAACTTGTTGCTGGGGCTCTCAATCTTATTGGCGGTGATACTATGTATGGACGCCTATGGGGTTGTCTTCCGGAATCTTATTATCCAAGTTTGCATTTCGAAGCATGTTACTACCAGGTTTGCTTAACCTAACTTGGCATGTGAATATGTGATATTTCCCTTCGAAATTGATCCTGTAGGTTGCCTTTTTTTTTTTTTTTTTTTTTTTTTTTTTTTTTTTTTTTCCATATCAAAGTTCAAATTTTGTCTAAGGTGAAGCCATAATGTGATATAGTGATTCTGAGTCTTTGCATGAATTTCTTTAACCATCCAGCTCCTTCAAATCAGTGAATTAGCATTGTAGAGACTATTATAGGAATGATGTATGTTAATTTAAGAATTTTTACTGTACTATCTTTGTCTGTTACTACTTTCTTATACATTTGCTAGTTGTACAAGCAGGATTTGTTGTTCTGGGTCACTTCCAATTTTACTCTTAATGGGGAGTATGCCACTTTTTTCCGAGTCATTTTTTATTTTTACTCTTGTCTGGGGAATATGCTACCCTTTTCAGCTTTTCTACCGGTGCTACTGAAATTTGTTCTGTTATTACATACACCTCTAAGGACGGTTCAGAATCCTTTTTTTTTTCCTCTTTTGTTCATCTATTTCTTCCTTGTTGAACCCTTGTGTTTAAGTCCACCCATGTTCCTGTTAATGTCATACTTATTCCATTGTAGGCTCGTAATCAATTTATCATACTTGTAGTATAATGTTGATTCTTCAGCTTGCCTTAACTCTTTTCTAATAGTAGAATCACTGTGTCATCCACTTAGTTTTTAGTATTCTGGCAATGCAATTGTGGTGTATCCTTTTGTCATAATCCTGATAGTGAAGAATCTTTTGACCAGGCACTTTTGTCGCCAGGAGTTAATGGTTGCGTATAATTCATTGGTATTTACTTCCTCCGTTTCTATTTACTTAACCTATAGTCCCATGGCACGCAATTTAAGGAGCGAATTAAAGAAGATGGAAGAAGTATGTAGCACAAATATATTAACATAAATAGTGAAATTTTGACCTATAAAACCAGGGGATAAAAAAACACTTGTCAAAAACTAGAAATGTCTTACACAAGAATAGTCGACAAGTAAACAAAAAATGACAACAAACTACAATACCATCGTATTATCATCGTCATCTTTATCTTACAACACTGCTTCCAATTCTATAGTTCATGAAGAAATTTTTTGTAAATTTCAATCTTTTTCACATTACTAAATTTACCACGACATCCCAAATATTAGTACTCATTATGTTTCCAAAAAAATTTATATCAATCTAATTCTCTAGTCACGGGGTAATTTATTTCATCCAAGTGACTGAATAAGAAAATAAATTCTCTAATTTCTCTCATAACAACAAGAGGTAATTGGTTTACCCAAATGACAGGCTAAAGTCGTATCACCTAATCAAAAGTATTACCTAAATCCTCTAACTAAAGTAGATAGGAAAGTAGAGTTGAATCCAAAGGGAAACAAGTATTTCTTTTCCTAATTAATCTAAGCAATCTAAATTATTAAGTAACAAAATAATATTATGAAAGGGAAACTAAACTACTAAGATTCTAAGATTAAGGGTAGAGAAAATCAAGGAATAAAGGCCTACTGCTCATAAGAGACCCCTTGTTGACCTTTGGTTGTCTCAAGTTGTCATTAGATTGAGCAATTGCAACTCGATACAGTGGAACTCTCACTATAGGCTCAATTTCCGCAGCTTGCTTATTTGTCTTCACCTTCTCATTTTCAAAGCCAAGACCTACACAGTAAAGGGCTCTTTCTATTACATCAACTTCCTCTTGCCATCTGTTTGTTTCTCTTGTAGAAGATGTAACACAAGATACCGCCTCCAAGAGATCTTTAACAAGAGCTTGGGGCTTATTAGAACAATTATCAACCACATCAATACTAAAACACTTCTCCTCTGTCATGGGGCTTTTAGGGGTATTATTCAAATTGAAAATAATTTTATCATCCCTTTCACATCTATAATTGCTCTTGCAGTGTTAAGGAAAGGTCTACCAAAAATAACTGGAGTATGCAAATCCTCGGTCATATCAAGAACAACAAAAATCAAAAGGTATATAAAATTTAACTACTTAGTAGCTTTTAATTTACCCATATTTAGATTGGAACACACAGACAATGGCATGACACTAACGCTAGCTCCCAAATCACATAATGCATGATCAATCATTAGATTGCCAATATGACATGGGATAGAAAAACTACCCGGATCTTTTAGTTTAGGTGGAGATTTCTTTTGTAGTACGACACTACATTCTACAGTAAAAGCGACGGTCTCTACCTCACTAAGAGACCTTTTCCTAGTCAATATTTCCTTCATAAATTTAGCATATGTAAGAATTTGTGTAATTAGTTCTGTAAAAGGAACTGTTACCTACAAATCTTTCACCATCTCCAAGAACTTACCAAACTGCTTATCCAAATTTGTTTTTAAATGACGATTGGGGAATGGAAGTTTGATAACTGGCTTTGGAGCATTACTGCTTTTGTCTGGAGTTGTTGCTACCTTCCCTAGAGTTGTAGCCTGCAATGTATTATACTACTCTTGAGCCCTGTAGGGCTATTAGCAACATTGTTTGGTTTAACCGATTAAGATTAGCATTTTTCAATAAAACAGGTTCATCATCTCTGGGCATAGGGGGGCCATCATAGTGTGAACCACTCCTCAGAGTAATTGCAAAAGCTTGATCGTGTGGTTGGCTGCGATGGTAGGGTTCCCTGTTGACGGGCTTGTAGAGTAGAGGAAATTGTGCAATTTGATTATCTACAATTTTATTATGGGCTATATGATTGAATCAATGAGCATCTCTACTCTCCATGTGCTTTTGCATACTCACTAGCATCGCTCTAATTTATGTCGAAGCAGGTCAGAAAATGAGGAGGGTTGTTGTGGTTGGTTTTTCTGGCAGCATTGGGATGGTAATATTTCTGCTCTGGTTGTTGTGGTGCCTGTGATTGTTGTGGAGGTGGCGGGTTTTGAACATTGGTGCTCCGGTAGGAAAGATATGGATGGTTCCGAAGCCCAGGATTGTAGGTGTTGGAGTAGGAAAGATATGGATGGTTCCACAACTCCTGCAATCTTGTTCCCAATGACCTACAATTCCACAATTTTCATAGAAAGGTTAATTAGAATTATTATTAATAGCAAAAACATTAGCTATATTTGCAGTGCTAAGATTATCTAATTTCTGACAAATAGAGGTTAATTGAGCTTGCAAAAAGGAAAATGAGTCAACACTATGTTTCCCCTTGTTAGCAAAGCCTCTAGGATTCCCATATTGGGAATTGTGGATTGCCATATCTTCGATAACTTGACCTGCATCATCAACATTAAGATTCATAAACCTCTCACCTGCTGCACAATCTAAAATCGTTCTACATGAATTTCCAATCCCATTATAGAAGGCTTGGCTAAATTATGGTGGGGACACTCTCTTTACAGATCCTTGAGTCTTTCCCAAGCCTCATATAAAGTTTCATCTGGCTCTTGGGCAAAGTTCCGAATTGCGCTCCTTAGCAAAGATGTCCTCTCTATAAGGTAATATTTATTTTAGAAATTCAAAACAAGAGTCTCCCAGTTAGTAATACCAAGTGCAGTTCTATTCAAACCATTAAACCATAATTTAGCTTTTCCACATAAAAAGAAAGGAAAAAGGATCTCCCTGATTTGGTCCTGTGTGACCCCCTCTTTCCCGATGGTATTGCAATATTGACAGTAGTCTGCAACATGAAGATTTGGGTCTTTACCCTTAGCTCCACTGAATTGCTTCCTTTCTATCATCGTGATAAATTGGAATTTAATCTCGAATTGCTCTCCATCAAGGGCCGGAGTGGGAGTGAGATGTGAAAATCGGCAAGCGACGGCTGCGAATAATCGATGAGCTTCTTAGGTGTTGTCATCTCTGATTCTAAATCTGAAGGAACTTCTGATTCACTAGAATCAGTTGGGGGCTCTCTGTGATTATCGTTATCCCCAAAACCCGCCAGGATTTGCTTGTAAAGATTCTTTTGTCTATGGAAAGAGCGCTCGATCTCAAGATTGAATGGAATATAACCTCATCGGGAACACCTGGGCGTAAACAAAGAACTAAAAGACAAATATGCGACTTGCCTCAAAGAACTGACGTTCTCTGAAACAAGAGGGAATAATCTAGACTACAAAAAAATACAATCAAAAATAAAAATAAAACCATTTACCCGGCAACGGCGCCAAGTTTTGACAGGCTAAAGTCGTATCACCTAATTAAAAGTATTACCTAACTAAATCCTCTAACTAAAGTAGATAGGGAAGTAGGGTCGAATCCATAGGGAAACAAGTATTTCTATTCCTAATTAATCTAAGCAATCTAAATTATTAAGTAACAAAATAATATTATGAAAGAGAAACTAAACTACTAAGATTAAGGGTAGAGAAAATCAAGGAATAAAGGCCTATGGCGTAGGTTCACCGATAAATAACATTCTAGGGTAAAACATAATAATCAATCATCAATGCATCAATTAATCAGATCATAAAGGGCTTTCGCTATGTATTACAATCATAGAATTAATCTACCATTATCAAATATCATCTCTCGAATCTCGACTTAACCATTTATAAATTAACCTGCCTATTGAAACTAAGCCTAAACATCAATTTTCATCTCTCGAATCTCGAATCAATATTGCTAAACTCATACATAAAAGACCCGCACAAGTCTAGTTGCATAGCATTAAATCAATAAATAGGAAATTAATTAAGCATTGACAATCAACAACAATAAATTACCCCTTCATAATATTTATGGATCCCCACAAACCCTAGAAAGAAAACTACTCACGCATAATTATATCTAAACTAATCAAAGCAATTAAACAAGACATGATGAATTAAAGAAATAGAATTACTGAAATTAATAGAGAAGAAATCGTTACCAAATTTAACGAAGATAATGAGTTGAATCAAGAACAAAGTGTAAAGTTATAGAGAGAAAAAATAAGAGAGGAAATAAAACTAAGTAGAAGGGAAAGTCTAAAAGAAGAGATAAAAAAAGTTAAAAGAGAATAATCGAG